GTTTCCGCTTTTAGACTATTGTGAATAGTGCTGTTATGAACATGAAATACAAATATTTGTTTGATTACCCAATTTTAATTCTGTGGGTTGTATACCTAAGCAGTGGGATTGCTGCGTCATATGATAATCCCACATTTAAATTTTTTTTTAAAATTTTTTTAACTTTTATTTATTCATGATAGTCACACACACACACAGAGAGAGAGAGAGAGAGAGAGAGAGGCAGAGAGAGAGAGAGGCAGAGAGAGAAGCAGGCTCCATGCACCGGGAGCCCGACGTGGGATTCGATCCCGGGTCTCCAGGATCGCGCCCCGGGCCAAAGGCAGGCGCCAAACCGCTGCACCACCCAGGGATCCCCCCCCACATTTAAATTTTTGAGGAAAAAATTGTTTAAGTTCTCTAGATGATTCAGTGTAAATCTGGTGTTGAGAATCATTAATGTTGAAGATGAATGAAGTCATGAAAATAAATGGAATGCACCAAGGAGAAGATATGGGTGGGAATATGAAAAGGCCAAAGGCAAAAAACCTTGGAAATACATTTCAAAGGCTGCTGAGAAGATCGCATAAGGAAGATACATAGGAGGAAAAAGAGGTGTCATGGAAATAAATGAGAATCCAGTGGGGGGAGCCATTGACATCAGATGCTAAGGAGAAATCAAGAATATGATTGTTGCATATGGCAAGATGGAGGTCACTAGAGTCTGGGGATCTGCTAGCTTTACTGAGGCCCTGCTTTCAAGGAGTTGAGGCCTATATGAGATGCAAAGTAGAAGAGAGGTGAGAACTGTAATATACTCTTATTCACTATCCCATGACACTCAGGAACATACAGTGCAGATATCAAGCTTAACAAAAATGTTATTAGACCAACCGGTTTATACCTCAACAAATCATGTGGCAATGTCCCTGACAGCTACAAAAGTAAACCACACTAAAGTATTGACCAGTACCTGTTTTGCTGACCATATTATGACCTTTCTAGGATTTTAACTACATGGAAAATATTTGGGTATAATAATATATAATTAGCTAAATTGAGTCTAATGTCAGCAAAATATTTAACAAATTCTTACATTATTTCCTCTATTTTCTGCCTAAAATAGTTTTAGCTTAAAAGTATTTATCAGTTTTTATAAAACATTCACCAGTCTCTGAATCAATATTGATGGCAGACAGTGCTTCATGATTTCACTGATTTATTTCCCAAAAGAAATTATTTTCTTCTATTATTAAAGAAAAGGGTAACCTTAACAATGACTGAGTTTTAAAGATGAAAAGTGAGAATTAAGGTCAACCTTATGTTTGAAGTCATATTAAATTTAACTTAGGTTTAAATTCTCAATGAATAGTAAGCAACATCTGAAGTACACGAGTGCTTTTATTAAAAAAAAAAAAAAAAGTATGTGTTGTTTTTTTTTTTTTTAAATCTTGAGTGTGAGACCAGCCAAGAAATGTCTCCTGGAGCGGTAAAGTAGTACACTATCCTAGATTCCTTTTTTCAATTAGCGCTTCTATTTTGTAGACAGTAACAGTATTTAATTTGAAATTTCCTCTTTCTGTGCCAATTCCAGTTTGAACTCCTTCCTGTGAAGTCTTTGAGTGTACAGCTTTATGTGACACACAAAGCCCTCTGAAAGCAGCCAAAGAAAGAAGGGGGAAAAAGATGTTTTTCTTTAGTATCAAGCACCTGGCAAGCAAAGAGCGTGTTCCTGTAAAGCCTTGAAGGCATTCCTGCTCTCCCCTGAGAATCCAAACGGCCTCGTTTTGATTTCCCTTTGAAAAACCATGAAGTTGGAGCACGTTTGCTTTGATTTACAGTTTACCAGACTTTTCCATGTTGTTTCTTGTTACTTATTTCTGCTCAACAAGTCAGGGTGACGGCCTCTTGACCAACTGGCAGTTGGCAGGAAGAGGGACTCCCTCACCCATGACTTCTGGCTCTGAGTGAGACAACCTCTTATGCTGAGGACCTCACAGAAATAAGGTACCTACTCAGCAGCTTCACAACACAGACACAAAGAGGAAATTAGGAGAAAAGTGCATTTCACTACAGTTCATCCCCTTCTTGCTATTTGCATGTCCCTGAGCTAACCTGTCCAAATGGAACACAGCAAAGAAAGCACAGTATCAGCTACTTAAAAAAGGAAGCCATTAGACAGGACAACAAAGCAAAGTGAAAGAATAAACAGATAAATTGGACTTCATCAAAATTAGGATCTTTTGTGCGGCCAATAATACTTTCAAGAAGATGGAAAGACAGCCAACAGAACAGGAGAAAATATTTGTAAACCATGTTTCTGATGAGATACTTGTATCCAGCATATATAAAGAACTCTTAAAACTCAATAATAAAAGACAAGCAATCCAATTTAAAAATGAACTTGAATAGACATTTCTCCAAAGAATATATACAAATGGCCAATAAGCACATGAAAAGACATTCAACATCATTAACTATTAGGGAAATGCAATCAAAACTATGAGATACCACTTCACACCCACTAGGCTAAACAATGAAAAGACAGATAATAACAAGTAGATGGATGTGGACAAGCTAGAACACTCACAAACTGCTGGTGGGAATATAAAAGGGTGTGGCTACTTTGGAAACCAGTCTGGTGGTTCTTAAAACATTAAACATAGACTTACTAGCTGACCCAGCATTTTTCTCCTCAGTATATACCCAAGAGAATTGAAAACAGATGGCCATACAAAAACTTGTACATAAATCCTCATAGCAGCATTACTCATAATGGTCAAAAATTATAAACAATCCAAATGCTAATCAATATGGATGAATGACAGTGGTATATCCATACAATGGAATATTATTTACTTGTGAAAAGGAATGAAGTATTGATATATTCTACAACATGGATGAACCTTGAAAACATACTAAGTTAAAGAAATCATAAAAAGACCACATCTTATACAACTGCATTCATAAGAAATGCCCCAAATAGGCAAATCTGTACAGACAAGAAAGCAAATTTGTGGTTGTTTAGTACTGAGGGACACTGTGGGAGGGCAGAGGAGGATGGGGATTGATTAATAATAGATAAGAGGGTTTCTTTTGGGAGTGATTAAAATATTCTAAAATTGGTTGTGGTTATTACAAAACTCTAAATATACTAAAAACCATTGAACTACACATTCTACATGGGTTAATTGTATGATATGTAAATTATATCTCAATAAAGTTGTTTTAAAAAGAGAGAGAGAGAGAGAGAATGAGAGAAAACCAGGACACATGGTCTTTCATTTCTAGTTGCTCTGGTCATTCCTCACTATCCCAAGTCCCATTTAGTTGTACTAAGTTTCCTGATTTAGAAGAAACACAAAGTTCTTATTCATTGTTTCAAACACATTTGAATTTGTTCCTCACCCTGAGGTCCTTGAACAACCTACAACCAAGCACAACAGCTACACTCCTTATACTCCTTTTGACCATGAGGGCACCACCAGCCACTATTCCAGCTCTCGTTGGCCTTTGATGAGGCCAAATTATGGAAAGAGATCAAGAGAGCAGCATAAAATGATAGAGAACTATCATCATGTGAACAGTTTCAGGGTTCTGAGTAGGGAGGTGTATTGATGGAAAAATGGCAACAAATTGTTTGCTCTAAAATAAGAACAACTGGGAGTGGGAAGCAAGGTTAGAGAGAGAGACAAGGAGAGACTTTCCTGTTAGCTCTCCCCCAGACTTATTGGTCATCCCAAACAAGCAGTGTCATGAGAGGTCTGGGTAGAGTAGCATGGCAGATGATGTTCCAAGGGACTTTTAGTAAAGCAGAAAGAGCAAGACCATCTTGTCAATGTAATAACCATTATTCTGAATAGACCATGATTAAATCCAAAAGAGGAGTTCTAAAAGGATTAATGCCCAAGTGAGGAATTTAAAAGCATCCTGATAACTGACTTCTGACAAAATATCCAAGAAAACAAGGTATGAAAAAATGTATAACATAAAAGAGCAAGCACAAATGAGATTATTAATCCAACGATACGGATTGTGTATTTAATCACATACCAGGTACCGCCTAAGCACAGCGTTTTCAGAAATGGACAGAGCTCTTCTCACCTTTTAAGTTGTTTGCTGCATAATTGGGGTCATGCTGCTCATTGCTCTAGTAGTTTATTTTCTTTATAATTCTGACTCAAATCTCTATGAGAACTGGACCTCGCATAGCCAGTAGTCAATGGAATGTTGCAATGTCCACCCACAAAAACCTTCCCAGATTTCATGAAAAAAAAAAAAAAAAAGAACAACAAAGTCCTTCACCTGAAACTAATATAACACCATATGTCAAGTAGCTGGAATTAAAATAAAACATTAAAAAAAATTCAACAAAGTTGTCTGGGTAGGTCCTAAAACAAAAATTGCCAACCAAAGCTCCTTATTGACTGAATAGAAATATCCACTGTATATCCCATAAATCTTGGAATTTGAGCTCAGATACACAAAGTCAAGGAACCAAGTATGCAGGGCTCTTCTAACTTTCCACACTTGCTCGTGGCAGACTTATTCTAGTTAATCTCCCTGGAGAGAGGCCCTGGCTCTTCTTTTCTCAGATGACAATAAACAAAACTGCAAAAATCACTAACTGCTTCTTCCCCCCAAATCTGTGGACGGTTAAATTAGTATTTTTATTTTGCTTTTTAAATTTTATTTATTTATTTATTTAAAAGATTTTATTTATTTATTCATGAGAGATAGAGAGAGAGAGAGAGAGAGAGAGAGAGAGGCAGAGACACAGGCAGAGGGAGAAGCAGGCTCCATGCAAGGAGCCCAACACGGGACTTGATCCCAGGACTCCAGGATCATGCCCTGGGCCCAAGGCAGGCACCAAACTGCTGAGCCACCCAAGGATCCCCTATTTTAGTTTTTTTAAATGAAACTTTATCCCTATACTTTTAATGCACTATTTTTTTAAAAAATAAAAACACAGGATACAGCCACATTGGAACATGAACCACGAAAAGCCTGTGCATGCCTACCTGCAGCATATGACAGCTTTACATGAAAGCGCCAAATCCAGGAAGCTTCTCCTGACTTCAAAGGAGAGAGCATACTTCAGGGTGTGGCCATCGATGATGAGGGCCACATCGTTCTCCTTGCCCAACAGATTCCCGAGGTCAGTGCAGTGCTGGGTAATGGCTGCCCTTGTCGCCTGAAACAAGAGTGGAAGGGGGGAGGGGATCATGTTTTTATGTGTTTGATATATCAAAAACAGAACTTAAGAAAAAAATCACAAGTTCCTTAAAGTGAGAACATGCCCATTCTAATGTAAAACACATAGCGTTCAATTTGTTGTGAGTATATATAAATGCACATTAAAATTCCATTGAACTGCCTGCTAGGTCTGTTTTATGGAAGAAAACATCCCCTTTAATGATATTTACATTTGATATTTACAATAACCTAGTCTGGTTACAGTCCAGGCTGAACTAGAGCATCCAAATTCTTCTCCTTTGGAACTTTAATTGCTAAGGTTCTCATGACTCTTTTTCTCCCTTCATGGTGCCTCTGGAACAGGAAACTCCATATAAACAAATGTGTGATGTTATTTTTTTTCCAAAAGATAAAGTTGCTAAAAAATGGCAAACATTTCTCAGTTTGCTAAAGATAATCTTTAAAAGCCCCCAAGAAGTATTAGGGGATATAAAATTAACATAAAAAATTAATTTCTATCCTCTGCTGAAATGTACAGATTAAATCACTTCTCCCCATGGGTCACCAGAAGAAGACACAAATTGATCATTTTTCCCATGTTACAGAAAATATCTAATAAAATTAAACATTTTAAAACAGTACTTTTTAAAACATTACTACCAGCCTAAGTAAGTGCGTTGGTATGATGTCTCTTATGCAATTAAAGCACAGAATCATTCTTTGGATTTTAAAAAAAAGTATGTCTGATTTCCCAGTGAATTTATGACTATGAATAGGATATCTGGTTCAAATATAAGAATTAAATTTTTGGATCATAATAAAAGATATGGTTTAAGCTAATCAGAGAAGCACAAAAGTCTGCTGAAATTATTCTGTTTGGACAACTGTCCTTTGGCTATTAAGCTACATTTACAAATAATTTATCCACCTGATAACATGAATTACTGTCTTAAAGAAATATGTTGCATGAACAGGAATCTTTCTATTCCTAGTTAAGCTGAGGATCAGCTACCATCACAAAGTGAGGCACAGATTCTTTTGTCTTACTGCTCAGTTTCCATTCTCAACAAGAGACTTGAGACAACACTTATCGGAAAGATGTATTTGAGGCATAACTGTGGTTTAGAGCCCTGTTCTGTGGTCAGATGGCCCAGGATCTGGTCCTAACTCTGTACTTATTACCTCTGTGACCTTGGGCAAGTTACTTCACCTCTTTAAACAGCAATTCTTAAGTGTAAAACAGAGCTAAGAATAGGTACCTCACAGCACTTTTGTCTCTAACAAATGAGCTCATCAGTGCCACCTGCTTAACACTGGTCTCGGGACATAATAAGCACTCAATGAAGCTCATTCTTCCTCTGGTTACTATTTAGTCACTAAGAATTTCCTACATCTAGGAAAATACACAGTTGCGCTACTTCAGGCAGTGAATAAATGCTATCACTGACAATGCCTTCTTTGTCAAGGTAATAACAGAAGCATAATTGATAGAATACTGTCCTAAGAATAAAAGTTGACTTTTAGTAAAACTACAGGTAACTTTATACTTTTTGAATTCTTAATTAGTTGCCTAATTCTGAATCTCAAACAAAACATCTATGTTTACCTTATCTGTGCAAACAGCCTGCCCTTTAGAATCTGGGTAGATAGAAGAAAATCCCACCCACCCAGGGAAATCCCGGTGGGGCATCCTGGGTGTACTCATGGGGGAACTCAGACAAGTCTGGGCAATTCTGAAGAGTGTGCTTGCCAGGGGTCAAGTCATGGTAGACAGAAAAACCTCCTGGGAAATATTTTACTGAAAGAGATGAGGCAAGCTATGCAGACCTGGTCTGTGGACAACATGCCAATATTGTCATGGAAGCACAATCTAGCCTACTGTCCGAAGGACACTTCCAATTGCCACCCCCTCCCCATGGATTTATGGAGGAAAAGGTTAAAGAATACAAATCCCTGAGATGAGGAGACCCCTGTCTGTGGCTTTTTTTCTAAGGGGGCACAGTACAAATGAAGATATGCAGCAGTAGTAATATTATGAAGGGTACTTTCTCCACTTAGGGTTATTTCTGGCCCAATCATGAAGACAGACTGGACCCTTCTTCCTCAGCCCAAGTGCTGGCAGCTCACCACCTATGAGGCTCTGAGGCAGGAGCAGAGAGGGTGCCCAGTACTGGGAATGTGAATGGCAGAAATGTAGCTACTGAGGAAACCAAGTTCCTGAGACAAATACAATCTTCCCTGTCCCTCTACGATTGGTCAACCAACAAATTGTGCAGGGAAGGACCTCAAGAGGGAACTGGAGTTTCAACTGTGGGAGGCAGGACACAGAGTTGCACACATGGCCCCTCTTCTTGAGAGACTCGTATGCAAAGGCCAACAGTGGTCTGGGGAACATGGAGGATACTAAGTTGAAATGTTTTCAGGTTGAACCACAAAAAGTGCTATAGACTGAATGTTTGTATCCTCCAAATTCCTATATTGAAACCCTAATCCCTGGTGTGGTGGTATTTGGAGGTGTGGCCTTTGGAAGGTAACTGGGTTACAAGGGGGAAGCACTCACCTGAGATTAGTGCCCCTATGAGAAGCTACCAGTTGCAGAGAAACCACCAGACATTACTAGGTTACTATGTGGGCCATTCAGCCTTCCTGGTACATTTTGCATTACATTTTCCTTTTTTTCCCCCCAAGTTTTTATTTAAATTCCAGTTAGTTAACATACAGTATAATATTAATTTCAGGGGTACAGCCCAGTGATTCATCACTTACAACAGCGGGTGCTCATCACAAGTATCCTCCTTAATCCCCATCACCTATTTCCTCTATCCCCCAACCCCACCCGCCTCCCCTCCAGTAACCTTCAGCTTCTTCTCTACCATTAAGAGTCTGTTTCCTGGTCGATCCTTCCTGTTCCTCATATCTCATTCCTCTTGCCTGCAATGTTTTCTGCTCCTCACCTCCTACCTGAACCATCCTGTTCTCCTCTCACTTTGTCTGTGCAGAATCACACCTTTGCCTGTGAGATTGGAAACCTCCCCTACCACCAGAACCTCTCCAGATCCATCCTCTTGCTCCACCCTTGACTTTTCTCCAGCCCCTGCTTTGGTTTTCATTCCAGTGCCCGGTCGGCAATAATCTTTGATCAAACCCAGACTAGCTGGGTTCCCTGCACATGTGTGGTAGAATATAGGTCCCTTCTGTGCAGTTCTCAAGCAAGCCAATCGAAGGAATTACTATCACAAACAGTTCCTTATTCTCAAATGGACTATGATTCAAAAGTCTATTTGTAAGTTAGTTATTGGGCACTTAGAATCTATTTTCCCAGAGGAACGATGTTACAAATTGTGGTTGGATCCCAGGACCTGTTAATGCCTACTTAGCCTAGTCGCTAAAATTTATACTGCAGTCTCTTATTTTAATAAAAAACCAATTACTGAAAGTTACAATGGACTTAGCTGTTACGAGGGGCATAGGGAGTTGGGACCGGGAGTTTCATTCCCAGAAAGATACAGAGCATTCCAAAATCCTTCATTAGAATTTGCCTATTAGGCATGAATATTAAAAAATCTATTTCCAGGTTTTCATACGTGTTCTACAATTTTATTTTCCTTCACGATTAAAAACACACACGACTTAAAGCCAAAATGAGCAAGTGCAATGACAGACTGTTCCCAAAGCCACACCGAACACTCACCTCTCCCTTGCTTGTGCCGTACTGGGAACCCTACATTTTTTAGCAGCAAGCTCAGTATTTGCCTTTGCATTTCCAGTTTTTTAAACAAGATCACGTAAACACCACAGATAGTGCCACACTTAAGTTCAGGAAACTGCTGTCTGCTCAGAGATAAGAGATTTACTGGAAGTTCAGCCTGCCCAACTTATGTGCGGATGGGACCCGAAAGGTAGCTCTACTGTCAGTCATTGTGGATTTAATAAACTGGAAAGATGGAGATTTCTAGAATCTGGATGCATGCCTACCAATTTGCAGGTAGCAGGAATCTTTCCTCAAAATGAAACCATTCCAGCAACACTGAAATCTGTCGAGGCAGGTGACCCGCTCCCTCCACGAGCTTGGCAGTGTCATAAGGAATTTCTTAAACGCTGAGCTAGCAGCAGCTGCCTCAGACCTCACTTTGATGTTCTGCAAATTCCAACGGGCTCAGAGCTGACGATGCTGAAAGCCAGGATGGTTCAAGTTTCATGAGTAGCAATTCAGCCAAATCTTACTTCGCCTTGGAGAGCAAACTCCTTTCTCCTGAATTAACCTTAGGCTAATGAGTATCTAACCATAATGCTCACCCTCTAGACCATGGATTCAAAATGGTTTTGTTGTTTTTTTTTCCATTCCAATCATCCATTTTTCTTGTCCTTGGCCAACTGTCAGGTGTGCCTTCTCTCACCACTGTATTCTATTCTACTATTCCTCCTGTCATTCCCACCGTCCAGCCTCCCAGATGGGCCACAGTGGCAATCTCCTTATTCTTGCCACTTCCATTTTTTTAAACTATCATTTCCATTTCCAATATAATCACACCTGTTTCCTGACAGCAAAATCAGTCTCAATACTTTTGCATTTATAAACCCTAATGGGCACAGAATTTTGTAAAGCTAAAGACAAAGCACAAGTCTAGCAAACCTATTATAGGCAAATAAAGAAGGTGAAGGCTGAAAACAAGCAAATTACTCATGGCCCCTATTGGCAGCTGTTGCCGACCTTTTCGCTTTAGATGTTGCTTTGTTCTAATCAATGAATATCTCTAAACTTAAAGTTCATTAGGAAGTAAGAGGAATCTCTGTTAAGTTTGTAATATTTCAAGGATTTCCTACAATACTAATAATTTCAAGGAAGATGGGATGCTATGTCACAGGCATTGAGCAAACATTCTTAAAAGATAATCTGGCCTCTTGTCACCAAGCACCCACATACCTAGCTGGTACCCTCAGGTCACCTTTAACCCCTCTCTCCCTCAATCAGGCATTCTCTACATGGGCTGCCTCCAC